GGAATATAAAAATAAAATTTAAATAAAAAATAAAAAAATAAAAAATAAAAACTTTCAAAAAGAAAAAAAATCAATAAACAAATTTCACCTCATTAATAAAATAAAAGAGAAATCCCATATGATCACCTCAAAAGTTACAAAAAAGGCATTTAATGAAATTCAATACCCACTATGATAATAACTCAACAAATGAAGAATAGAAGGAATCAAATTGATAAAAGTCACTGCAAAGATTACCTGCAGTTCATACTCAATGGTGTAAAGTAAAATCTTTTTAAGGTTGGAAACAAGCACAGATGTCTGCTGTTACCATATCTATTCAGTGTTGTGCTACAAGTCCTAGCCAGTACAATAATGCAGGAAAAAAATCATTAAAACGTTCTATATGAATTGGAAAGGAAGGAGCAAAATTCTATTTATTTGAAAGTTTCTTTGATTGTTTATGGAGAAAATTCTGAGATTCTATAAACATGCAACTGGAACCAATATATTAACTTAAGAAAATTTCATGTTAAAGGCCAACATACAAAAATCAATTGCATTTCTATTAATATACACCAACAAAGAAAAATTAGAAAACAAAGTTCTAGAAAAGAGGATTCTAATCTATAGTGATAAAAAGTAAATTAGTACTTACTAGGACAAGGAAGGGATAGGAATGATACAAAAAGGACATAAAGAAACTGTTGGGGGTGACAAAAAATGTTTTGACTGTAGTGATGATTATATGGGTGCACACCCTTGTCAAAACTCACAAAATCCTACAATTAAAATGGGTACATCTTATTACTTAAAATTTTTGTTTCCATAAAGTTGAGATTCAAAAAAGTTAAAAAAAAAAAAAGCAATTCATCGGAGGTTCACTACACTGACGATAACCTACCAGAAAAATATACAGGAGTACCTAGGGATTAATCTGAAAATGCACAAGAACTTGTCAGAGAAAAAATTAAATAAAAATAAACATAAATAAATAAAAACATAGAACATGTTTAAAGAAGAGTGACTTAGATGTCCATCCTCCCTCTATTAATTCTCTAAATTCCATTAATTTCCAATAAAATCTCTTTTGGGGACCTTATAAATATTCTAAAATCCAGAAAAATACAGCTAAACTAATAACTAAGATAATCTTGAAAAATACAAAAAGAACAAAGAAAGAAAATCAGGCTCTGCTGAACTTCAAGGCATTCTACAAAGACAGCAGGATAAGGATAAGGGGATCCTAGCTGGACAAATGGAACAAAAAGTACTAGGAAAGAGCCCCATGATCTGGTGAAGAGGCACCAGAATTCAGTGGCGGGAAAAAAATGAATTATTTAGTAGATTCTGTTGGGTTAACTGGTTCACTGGATGACAATGAATAAAGTTGTGCTTCTAATTCAAACCATATTTAAAAATGAATTTTTAAAAAGGCTTAAATGGGAAAGAAAAATGCTACATATTCAATAGAAGAATATGTAAAAGAACATCTTTTGACCTTGGGGAGATAAAGATTTCTTCAATAAGACACCAAAGCATGAACCACATGGCAAAAATCAGCGGACTTGACCACATAAAATTAAAACTATCTGTTCAAACATGGCGACTAGAACCGACCGCAGTTCACTACATGGGTGGCAGACTGGGGAGACATAATGGACATTGTGTGTGACCAACAAAGGAATAAACTCTAGAATATAAGATACTGCAGATTAACAAGAAAAAGACAGAAAATCCAATGGGGAGAAATGGGCAGCTCCTCGAAAGGGGATCTTAATGGCCAGTAGTTTGTTTAACCTCATCAGTAATTAGAAAGAGGTAAATTAAGATAGCAATGGGATGCCCATTGGCAACACTTCAAAAATCAGAAAGAAAAGAAAATGCTGATGATGTGTGAAGATGATGTGTGAAGCTCCCTGCCATGTCAGCATGGGGCATAGTCCCCAAAATACAGGGGCTCAGGGAGCTGGTGAGTGCTGGGTGTGACCTGGACGCTTGGGCAGGCGTGTCCAGCCCTTGGATGGGGCAGTCCAGCCTCTGCCTGGATGAAGGCAAACAGGGGGAGCCACGAAGGCACCCAAGTCCCAACCTTTGTGGGGATCAGAAGGGAAAGTTCAGGAGCAAGAGCTGCAGAACACAGTCAGCCGGTCCTCGTAAAGTCACTCCCTTCACACTGGTTAAAGTATTGATTAGCAATGAGTAAAATAAAAAGGCTCCCAGCCATGGCCTCTGTCTGTGTGGGGTCTGCAAGTCCTCCCCATGCCTGTGAGGGTTCCCCCGGGAACTCTGGTTTTCTCCCCCAGGCTAAATATATGCTGGTGAGGTTCGTAGGTGCCACCATGGCCTGTGTGAGCGAGTGTGGGCGTGGGTGTGTGCTGCCCTGCAGTGGGCAGCCGTCCTGGCTAGGGCTGGCTCTCCCTGGTACCCTGGGCTGCGGGGAGAGGTCCCACCACGCAGGCCCTGAACGAATGAATACAAATTTATTTTAAAGATTTATTATTTATGCATACAAGAACTGGGGTACAGGCCAGAGGTGTGGGGGGTGAGAGGATTCAGCAGAGACAGAGTGGCAAGCAGAACAGGAGGATCTACTGAAATCCACTGCTGAGGGGAGCAGCAGGGAGATAGGAGAGGTCTGCTGTGCCATGTGGGTAGCTCCCTGGCCAGGTTTCAAACTTGTGCTGAAGTGGCTGTGGATAGCTTCATAGTGCTGTATCTTAACCCTTTACATCACCAAAGAGGCCTGAGTACAAATTATTGTTGGTTGTTCGAAGTGTTTCGGGTCTTTATGTAGAGGTTTGATGATGTTTTTGTGACCAAAAATGGGCTGTAGGGACTTAACTCTCGTTCACCTTCATTTGCCTGTGATACCACTGGTGCCATACAGTTGTTTCACTTAAAGTCACAGATTGCAAGAACCTGCTGGCAACACTAATGAAGACGTCCAGTATCTTTCCACTCGGGAATGTACAAGATAGGATGGGAGAGATAGAGGCCAGGCCCGGGGCGGTGGACACTAGTACGGGCTCCTGGCCTCTGCTGTTTCCCAGGAGGGAAAGAAAGCAGGTGGCAGAGGGGAGTGAGGTCCTCAGGTCTGGCTCCTCTGGCGTCCTGTATAGGGGCCGCTGCCTCCGTGTCCTCATCTGTGGCCTGGGAGGGGCTCCCGGTCCTCCGTAAAGACACTCCCTTCAGATGTGTTAAACTGTTGTGACCCCTCGCAGGCCAGGTTACATAAACTCCAGAGCCTGTCCGTTCCAGGCTGGATGGCGGGCTGAGCCGTTAGGACGAGTTTGCTGGGCTGCTTTGAGGTTTGACCTATTTATTCTTGACCAGGAGCTTTTTCTGAAACTCTTTGTTAAGGTTTTTCCTTCCTTCTTTCTTTTTTCCTTCTGACTTTGACGTCAGCACCAAAGGCAGCGTGGGCAGGACCTGGGCGTTCAAGGACACAGCGGAGCCCCAAGTCCATCCCCGCCCCTCCTTCCTCCCTGGCCTGGCCGCTGCAAGAGTCCCGCTGAACCCCAAGGACGAAGGATGAGGCTTCTTACCCTTGATCCCTTGGAAATCTCCCTTTTTCTCGATTTGGCGGCCAGGTCCCAAGCCGAGGACTCAGGGCCCGTGGGACCCAAGGCTTCGTCACGCGTCCTCCGGTCTAGGCTCCAAAAAAGAACTGTGGGTCTGCAAACGGTGTCCCCAACAGAACATTCAGGAGGCCGAATAGACCTGTCCCTGGGATGAGCCCTGGGCTCCAGGCTCACGTCCCCTGACATTGCCCCACCTGGCTGCCCTCTCACCAGAAGAACCAGACCCAGGTGTCTCAGCATTTGCCGCTAGAACTAAAATCAACAAGGAAACTTGACCCCAGTCAGAAGTAACCTACCAAGCTTTATCAGTCATTTATGTCTCAGTGTGACTGATACTCAAAAGACTTTCCTGAAGGGAGTGTGAGGAGATTCTAGAATTCTCCAGAACCCTGAGATATAAGATGGGAACTTCTAAAAGGGAGGGGGCACAGGCAGGCCAAGGAGAAGGCCAAGACAACCCCCCAGCCCCAACCTGGCCCTGGTGGGGGCTGGTCTGCCCAAAGCCACCCACACCCAGGCCAGGCCCTGCTACCCAGGCAGGCACCAGGCGTCAACACGCAGTTGGATCTCCTGACGCCTTCTCCACTCCTTCCCTCTTGCACCATCTCTTCCTACAGAGCTCACCACCCCTTTTTTATTTCCTCTTTTCATTTCATAGTCTCATTTTTCCTTTTTCGTTCTCATTTCTTGCACTTTCACATTTTCTTATTTCTTTCTTTTTGCCTTCTCTTGCGCTTTCTCTTTTTCACCTTCTTTCCTTACCTACTGGGCTTTCCGTGTCTCCAGTTTACCGAGTCAGGTAAGCAAGGACATTCTTTTCTCTCTCCTTCCCCCACGCCCTCTTCTCCCCTCCTCTGCATTGCTCTCTCTCCTCTCTCCCCCACTTCTCCGCCATGCTTCTTTCTATTCCCCCACCCTCTCCCTTCAGCTGCGTGAACATCTCAATTGTACCATGTCGGCAGATTCTTGCTGGCCTGATATTTTATACTAGGTGCGTCTGCTTTAACTATTCCACTTAAAAATTAAACCCATCTGCCCCAAACTGAAAACAGCCTCTCCCCCACCAGGGACAATAAATATTGATGACTTGAGACATGATTGGCTTTATGATGTTTGATGACAACTGGTATCAGTTACAGAACTTACATCATTTAATAAAAAAATGAAAAGCCCTAGCAGGGATGTTGCATGTCAACAGACATTATTAAATGTCAAAAGAAATACATTTTCTTCAAGAGCCTGAAATCTAAACAATGTGAGGGTCCTGGGGGTGGGGGTGGGGGGGCAGCTTGGACAGCTTTCATGTGAAGTTAGGAATATCGTTTCTTTTTTGTGTCCACCCTAATTTGTGCCAGTTGGGTTTTCCTAGAGCCCCCCAGCAGCCACCACCACAAAATCTTTCTCAAGAAATCTTCTTCCTTTTCATTATTTGAAAAGCTGAGTCCACCTGACGGCTGTCTCCTTGTCCCATGGGAGAACTCACAGACATTCCAGTGGGAGAAAACAGGATCTGTTGAAGGCCCAAAAGCTGGAAACCGAAGAAGAGGTGAGAACATTTGTCTTTCTCTTTATTTTTATTGTCAGTTTGCAATCAGGACTGTCTGGCTCTGACGTTTAAAGCAAATAAACCAAAATCTGGTGTGTGAGCCTACTGAGCTTCTATTTATACCCTGATAAGTTAAATCTAGTACTGTGAAAGGGGGTGGCTGCCAATATTTCTATTTGGGGTACATTTAGTCATGAAAAAAAAAAGAGGGTGGAAACATTTCCTGCTATTTTCAATGTATTTATGTGCTTTACTGAGCTGGATTCTGACTACCTAAGATACTTCCGGAGACTCATTTGGGTATATTTAGAAGGATCATAAATTCCTGTGGTCTTGAGGGTGGTTTGGTGAACTAAGCCTCTGAAGGCATTCGTAATTGAAAAGGTTACTGTGGCTTCTTCAAGAGCCTAACAGAGCTCCTTCCCACCCCACTGGCTTATGCCATGGAAGAGCAAGACTCCTTTTCATTTGCTCAGAGTTTGTGGTCTTCCCAAGAAAGTTCTAGAAAAGGAAATGCAATGTGAATGCAGGGGTTTTTGCTGAATTTTAAAAGTAGGATTATTGTTAATATCTGTCCAACAGACTCACTGTGGAGGTCCCAGAGACATTGCTTGTGGACCTGGTTTGAAACTGGAAAAGGGCAGGAGGTATGACTGGGACATCGCTGGATATTGGACACTTAACACTCGAGGACTTTGGGCCAGTTATATCCCCTCCCGGAGCCTCAATTTTATCACCTGTGACACGGAAATGCGAATACTTGCCTGACAGGCCTTTAGTGTAAAACAATGTTCTGAAAGCAATGAAGTGTCACCCTCCTTCATTCAGAAAGACTTTGGAACAGTGGCTGTGAGCTGGCCAGCTGCAGGAGCTGCGGACAGAAGCGGGGTCAGAGGAGCTGTTCTGATCTTGAGGATTCCAGTAGCTCTGGCCCTAAACCGGGGGCACCCCCAGGGTTCTGAGGGAATTTCAGCAAAGGTGGGGGGCAAGAGGAGGACAGCATTTCCAAGGGAAGATGTAACAAAGCACTAGGGTCTAAATTCCCCCAGATTGGGGTGTAGCGGTGGGGATTGGGAGGTTGTCATTTTAGATGAGTGATCCAAGGCCAAGGCAGCCTTGGAATAGGGCTAGAAGGAAGGAATGATGCTGAGTTTGGATAAAGGAGGGTACGGAGGCTGGAGTGATGAGTTACAAGACCTTGGATAAGGAGAATGAGGAGCCAAACACAAGGTTCCTTGGGATTTTTAGACTTTGCCATTGTATGCACAGGGCAGGACCTGCCCTGTTTTCTCTTTGTGTGGTTACGCCTGGAATGAAACCGGAATGCTGGGAAGGCTGGTGTCCAGGTTCAGACAGGCCCTCTCCCTTCCAGCCCTTACCCTGCTGATCTTAGTCACCCAACTGGGCGGGGGAGGAAGGACATTGGCAAGATACTCTGACAAACGACTCTCTTGTAATTTGTCCAGCAATTTCTTCCCTCGGCCAAACCAGAACAACCACTGAACCTGAGGTATTCGGCGTGGGTGATGGTGTTCTGGGTCCTTTAAAGGCAAATGTCTATAAAATGAAAATAGTTCCCTTGAAAGTTGACTTAGTCCTGTGTGTGTGTGTGTGTGTGTGTGTGTGTGTGTGTGTGTGTGTGTGTGCATGCAGGGGAGGCGATCTGATACGGCTCTCACTTTTTCCAAATGAACTTCCCCAGCCTAATTAAGAACAAGTGCAAACAGATGGGAGGGTGTATTTCAAAACAGAAATGGGCTCTTCACCACTAACCACCATCACATACAAAATAAAATAAAATCACGGTCCCCTCCCTCCCTCCTCCTGTTGGAAGTCGTCCCTTTACAGGAGGTAGACAAGCTGGAGTTGTTTTCCTCCAAGGAATTTAAGAGAATCAACATGTTTTCTTTTCCTGGTTGCATCTGCGGTTGAATTGCTTAAAAAATTTCACTTCTTAAGGTAACCTCGGCTTGTTATGATGAAATTAGGGGGGTTTTGTGTTGTTGTTTTGTTTTTTGCTTGTTTGTTTGTTTCTCGAAGGTAGAGATGAGCTCCAGCAGAAGTGGGGGAAGCGACAAGTAGCTGTCAGAATTGGAATGCATATCAGTTATGCTGGGAGACAATGAAAACATCAAAAAGCACATGAAAAATTCAGGTCCTCAGAAGCAGCTCGGGACAGGTGGGTTGCACCTCATTTGCATGTCAGTACCCACAATGCTCTGTGGGCTCCCAGATCCTTCCATGCAGCCCGGGTGTCTGAGCTCCAGGGAACAAAGTGACAGGGTTTGAGTGTGCTTGTGGGTGAGAGAGGGGCTTTGGTATCCTAGGGAAAAGCCAGACACGGGTGGGGAGAGCATGCTCCTCTGGTGATTAGCAGCCAGCCCCAGAGGGTTTCATCCCAGGCCGTGGAGCAGGTCCTGGCCTCTCCCCTGCCTGCCTCTTCTTCCCTCCCCGCAGATGTGCAGCCTCGGTGAAGGCCGCCAGCCTTTGCGAGGCCTGCCTGGCTGTGTTGGTAGTGCATTTGCCTGAAATCTGCGATTTGTGTGGGGTGCACTTTCTGGTGCCCGGCCTCATCCCGAGACGTGCTGGCCTTCCCTGCCTGTGGCTCCCGAGGACAATCCAGGCCTGGAGAATTCTCAGAACCCCAAGAAGCCACATTGACCTGACATGGGGGACAGAGGCTCCCTTTCAGCCCTGCCAGAGGGACCCCTTTAACCTCGCTCTTCCCACCCACACAGATACTTTTCTCTCCAAACTTCTCTCCCCAAGGAGGCCAGGAGAGCCATTGCCGGACGCTCCAAATTCCAGGAGTGCCTGCAAAATGCAGCCTCTAACTAAGAACCCGAGGAGGGGGCAGTAAAGGAGGCCCTGGCTCGGCCCCCTCAGCCTCCTGGGTGGCCTCGGGCGTGTCTCTGCCCATCCTCACTTACCCCCTTCTGGCCAAGCCTGTCCTGCCCAGGAGCTGAAGAGGGTGAACAGCAGTGCTATTAACATGGCCAACTATTCTGGGACATTACAAAATACATACAAAATAAAAGGAAAACTCCATCTTTGAGGTTTGTACCTGGAAGGATTTTGTCTGCGTTTGTACTTTGATTTTGAGCTACACTTTTCTCAATGCTGCAAAGGAGTTCTTAGGCTAGATTAATTTAGCACTCGGAAGATCTGGGCAGAAGAGTGGACACGGAGACCTGTGGGGTCTCACCCCACCCCCTGATATTCTGAGCTTCAGAGCTAAGATCAAAGTCAGCTCACCCAGAATTCAGAAGCCGGCTACCCTGCAAGCGGGATCCAGCCGGCACATTTGTTTGCTTCAGTCCGTACACAGCGTTGTAGAATGTGTTGAACCCGTTGCCAGCATTTGAAAAGATACATTTTATAGCATCTCTTAAAACATCTGAAGATCTGGCTTCACCCGCGTGCGGGTCTGCAAGGCCCTCACCCGCCAGAGGTGCGTCGACAGCGCCCCCTGCAGGACGATCCATATCCTGCAGGACCTGCCCTCTGGTCCAGGCCCTCCCTCCCATCCCTGCTCTCAGGGCCTGCGGTGTTGCTCCCGTCTGGGTTGTGAAGGCTTTTGCATGTTCGTCCTTGGCCGGACTCGTGGATACAGACTCCCGGAGCTTTTCTATATTCTGATCAGCAGCGCGGCAATTGGGAAGACCCAGCCCTGAGCTGTGCTCATGGTGAGGGCGAGGGGAAGCTGGACCAAGACTTGACTCAGCACCCCCTGCTCGTCCATCCCGCTTCCCAAACACACTCTGCTTTAGCAAATGTGTTTTTCACCTGCTGGGTCTTCGAGGAATTGACGGTGGTCTCGTGCCTCCTTGCACCACGCATATTACCCCTTTAATTTAGATGCCTCAAGTAGTCTGGGGTGAGGGTTGCAAGGTTTGGATTTTTAAAAATTGTTTCCCAGATTTGTTGTGTCTAATTTGGGCTGCCAGTGGGTTTTGGTGTCAACGACCAGCCACTGTTTGGTCTGTCACGTGTCTCTGCGGAACTTGGACAGCTTCAAGAGCACCGGCTCCCCAAATGCAGTCTAAATACATTTACGCATTTATTCCCACATGTGTCTTTGTGTTTCTACCTGTCTTACCTCACCTCAGACAGCTTCATGGATAGGAACTTCCTGGAAAGGAAATGAGCAGGTGACCTGACCCTCTACTGCAAACTTCATAAAAGAAAAAAGCAATCCACTGGACTCAGCTGGATGGCAGCTGATAAAGATGTTTCAGAACAAGGATGTTGGGATGAGCTTGGATTGGAATTGTTTAAAATATTTATTTATTTATGCATACAAAAGGTGTGTGGGGTGAGAGGATTCATCAGATACAGAGTGGGGAGCAGAACAGGCAGACCAACTGAAATGCACTGCTGAGGGGAGCAGTGGGTGAGTCAGGAGAGGTCTGCTGCACCGTGTGGGTATCTCGCTGGCCGGGGATGGAACTCATGTTGCAGTGGCTGCGGAGAGCTTCATAGGTTGCATCTTAACCTCTTGCGCCACCAGGGAGGCCGGAATTTTGTTGTTTTCTGAGGACAAGTGATATCACTTGAGAGAAGAATGAGAAACAGAAACAAGAAGATTACTTTTAAAAATGACACAGACCCCTCCCTACTGATCTAACTGGAATTCTTTATCATTATAGAGCTTTTAGTATGTTTAGTGTTCGCCAAGTTGTGAGACACTTAGAACAACAGATGTTGCTGGGTTTTACCAGCACTGATGATGACAATAGCTGTGAGAGCTCGTGATGCTCTAGGGACAGGGCCAAGGGCCGCTATGCAGTGGCAACTTAGAATAATTCTATAAAGTCAATATGCTATCCCCATTTTGCAGGCAAGAAAATGGGCGCTGGGGGGCCTCCCTGGTGGCACATGGGGTTAAAGTCTCAGCACCATCAAGCTATTGCCAGCCACTGTGACGTGAGTTCAACCCCCTCAGCCAGGGCTACCCACATGAGCTACCTCCCAGCCATGAGCTACCCACATGTCATAGCAGAACTCTCCTGCCTTGCCTGCTGCTCCCCTCAGCAGTGCATTTCAGTAGATCTGTCTGTTCTGCTCCCCACTCTGTCTCTGGTGGATCCCTTCACCCCTTGCACCTCTGGTCTAGACCCAGTTCTTGTATGTATAAATAAATAAAATAAATATTTTAAAAGAGGGAGAGAGTAAGAAAATGGATGCTTAGCAAGGTAAAGTAATTTTTCCAAAGACCCAGAGGTGGAAAGGGATGGAGCGAATAATCAAACCCACACCCCCTCCAGCATATTGTGGGCCTGGGCAGTAAGACGGAGCCCCCCTCAGCAGCCAAAACTCAGGGCTCAGTGTGCGAACATGTGTTCTCACCTCCCCCTCCTCCCGCTTGGACCACAGATCTGGGCTTAGAGTCGGCATAAGTAAATGTCTGGTGAATGCCTGTAAGGGTAGGAATGGACACTGCGGAGGTTTTCTAGGGTCCAGCAGACCAGGTAAAGGAGGAGTCAGAGTCCTCATTGGCTTTTACAGGCTTTTATTGGGATTTACCCAGTACACAGCAGGCAGGGGTGCTGGGGGGGCCCGGAGGCTGGGGGGCCGCGAGGCTGGCAGGATTCCCAGCCCCCAACAAGTCTTCACTCTATCTGGGCTCTCTGGCCTTCTCGGCTTCTCTCTCGGCTTCTCTTTCTCTCAGCTTCTGCTGGCATCCCCGTGACGCCGCCCTAAAAGCCCAGGTGAATCCACTTCAGTGCCCGCCATCAGGCATGCATTCAGGACCACAGGGTTCCCTCATCTATCCTAATGGCGGGAGGGCAGAAAAGCCTGATACTTTTTCCTTACCCTACAATGCCCATCTCAGTCAGTGATGAAATTGAAAGGATTCGTGGGAGAGATAGAAATTGAAGGTATGTCTTACCTGTTAAAAATTAGACTTGTTGCCAATTACAGACATCAGAATTAACAGTTTAAATAAATAATTAAAGGTTTAATTTTCAGTCCTAGAACTGAAAATCTAGAGGTTGAATATGACAAGGTCATAAGAGACCCAACCCCTTGTCTGTTTTTCCTGTTCTTCCCTCTTAAATTCACTAATCCTACCCTCCAAGATTGCGTTATGGTAATAAGATGGCTGCTGGAGCTCCAGCAATCACATCCAAGTTTCAGATAAGAGGAGAAAGGGGGGCCTCCGTGGTGGCGCAGCAGGTTGAGCACAGCGCTGTGAAGCTTTCTGCAGCCTCTGCAGGGCCAGTTTGATTCCTGGCTGGCCGGGGAGATACCCACATGGCAAGGCAGACCTCTCCTGTCTTGCCCGCTGCTTCCCTCAGCAGTGTTTTCGGTCGTCTGCCTGTTCTGCTCCCTGCTCTGTCTCTGGTGAATTCTCTCACCCTCCTGTGCCTCTGACTGTACCCCAGTGCTTGTATAAATAAAAATAAATCTTAAAAAAATAAAATAAAACATTTTAAAAAAAGAAAGGGGAGAAAAGCCTTTCCAGACGCCTCAGTTGATTTCTGTTGAGATTTCATTGGCTGCAATTAATTTCTAATTGCAAATGAGAGTGGGAAATTACTTATTTTATCTGGAGACTTGTTCAATATGAGTAAAAACTTGCTTCTGTTTTTGCTCAGATCGACCAAGAAGAAAGATTAAGAAGAAGAAAATGGATGGTGGATAAACAACTGCTCTGTTCCTTGCAAGATTCAGCCTTCTTTATGGAGAAGGAGAGAGAAAGGAATCCACCGGGGTAACTCCTGGCTCACTCCATGCTGGGGGCATACAGAGCTTTGAGACATTCTCTGCAGTGACTTGGTGAGGTGGCAAACACAATGTGGGTGCCAGGCCTGTAATTAGTTCCTTTGCTATTCAAATCCTAGTGCCAAAGTCTTGGTCAATTGCATTGAAAAATAATCTCTTCATTACTTTCAGCTGTTTCAAGTGTCTCTAAGAAACTTCAGCCGCTATTTCCTAACGAAGCTTCTGGTGAAAAATGGACTCTGACCAGTGTGTGAACAGCAGTGCCCTGCACTGCCTGGCAGAGCCAGCCGTGTTGGCCAGCCCGGTGGATGAACAGATAGGCAGATCAAGTCTTCGGTAAACACCAAGCTTTGCTCGACAGCAATGACTGCCTTCTGCTGACTCCAGCAGGCACTTCCAGGATATTAATGACTTGTACTAAACAGAACGCTAGAGTTTTCCACATTTTTTTAAGGCTGCAAAAATTAAAGCTACTGTGTAAAGCAAGCGCCAGATTTCCACTCCTGTGTTTGTACAGCTTTCTCTGCTTTTCCTCCAAATCCAAACCAAATAGACGCTCTTGATTTTCCCAAGATGCCAACCAACAGCCAGCCATGTGTTTGCAGATAAGGAGGGGTCCCTTGACATGGAGAACATCATGGGGCTGGGATATATTCCAGTTTTCTTTAGTCCATGGCTTGGGAAGTTGGGCTGAGGTTTCTGAAGAGCGGAGGCAGAACTGTGAAATGGAAGCCTTGGCTTTCTCCTCCCCATTGTTAGCCTGGAAGGTCTTGCTGTAGGGGTGGGCACCCTCCTGATGAGCTTCTGCAAGGTACTGGTGGAAATTCCCAGTCCTTGAAGGACTTTGAAGTCATGCACTACCCAAATCTCATTAATAGTTCAATAACTGGGAAAAGACTCATGGAAAGGATAGAATCAATTCTTCATATTACTTGCACCTGTAATTATTTATAAACATCTTCCCTTCTGGGGCCTCCCTGATGGTGCAGGGGGTAAAGTCTCAGCACTATGAAGCTGTCCACAGGCACTGCAGCAGAGTTCGCTCCCCCGCCAAGGAGATACTCACATGGTGCAGCAGACACTCCCCTCAGCAGTGTATTTCAGTCAGTCTGCCTGTTCAGTTCCCCGCTCTGTCTCTGGTGAATCCTCTCACCTCCTGCACCTCTGGCCTGTACCCCAGATCTTGTATAAATAAATGAAATATTTTTAAAAATAAATAAAGGAAAGCATTATTTCAACTGCATTTAAAAAAAAAAAAAAGAAATAAGCCATTAAATAATAATAATTTCAATGAAAGTTCCCCCGGTGACTCTGCTGCTCAGCCAAGGATCTGCTCAGCTCCTGGCCAGCCTCCCTCTGTGCTCAACTCCACGGCCATGTTCTGAACATCCCCCCCCACACACACACGCACTCTCCAAAACCCCAAACCCACAATGGCCCAACGTGCTGTGCAGGCCAGAAGGCAGAGGCTTCAAGGCACATGGATACCTGCAGCCATGGCTGTGCATGCCAAGAAGGAAATGATCTCACACTCGCTGGGCCAGCTGGGAATGCTGGAATGTTCATTTGTGTTCAGCCTGTGGGCTCAGGAGAGCTTCAGGCCAGGAGGATTTCAGTGTTTCCAAGTCAACGCCAAAGGCTCATACGCTGGTGGATGATTGATTTTTCTTGAGATAATAACCCAAATGTATTTGTTCAGTGTCTTTCAGAACCAAAGTCTTGTCTGATTTTATTTTCGTTTTGTTTAGTTTGAGGGGGAGGGTTAATCTGAGAGGGAAAAGCTTGACTGATGAGCAAAATTTCAGTGTTTTTTTTGCCTCCTGGGATCCTGTCAGTGGCATCCCTCTATCACATGCGTGGATTCTTCAACAGATATTTGCAAAGCACCTACTGTGTGCATAACACCTGGAGATTTCTGAAATGGCGGCACATTTCCCTACAGAGAGACCTTTCAATTCCAAATGCAGTTCAACACTGAGAAACCAATCCCAGGCAAAAGAATTTGAAGATACTTGTACATAGTGCTCAGTCAGTCAGGTTTGCTGTCTGGCCTTGATGTCCTACCTTTTGTATCCAATTCTTTTTTTTTTTTTTTAAGATTTGTTTATTTATTCATACAAGCACTGGGTACAGTCAGAAGTGTGGGAAGGTGAGAGAATTCACCAGAGCCAGAGCGGGGAGCAGAACAGGCAGGACTGAAATACACTGCTGAGGGGAGCAGTGGGCAGCAGGAGAGGTCTGCAAGCCATGTGGGACCCTCGCCAGTGGCCAGGGATCGAATCAGTGCCCAGCGCTCAACCGCTGCACCACCAGGGGAGGCCCAAGTACCCAATTCTTGAGTACATCCTTTCCCCTCCCCTCTGTTGAGTATCCACTGTGTAATAGGGCGCTTACTCTTTGATTTTCTTTTCCCATAATCATAGCAGGTGAAAACCATGAAGCCCCATATGGCAGGTGAGGAAACAGAGGCCAGAGAGCTCACTAGTACGGGCTTGGGGGCCAGGCTGCCTGACACCAATGCCACGGAGAGTTACCTATGTCCTAAAGAATCTGACCCCTTGTACCACGGCTTCCATGACAGGGATTATGGTGCTTTCCCGGCAGATATTATCTGCTTCATTGGTGCCTTCAGAAATCAAGTACTCTTTACTGTCATGCATATCATGGGGGAGTTTCCAAATGTCACATATTCATGTCTAAAGGGACCAGCTGTGCAACTAGAAAACTATACATTTCTCTCCAGTGCCCCTGTCTTTCTGGGAAATCACTAAATCCTCTAAACCAGCAGTTCTCAAAATCTGGCCCCTACTCTGATAGCATCAGCCTCACTCAGAACATCAGGGATGCAAATTCTCAGGCTCCACCTCAACCAGCAGCACTAGGCTCCCAAGGTAGACTCAGGGATTGGAGTGTGTTTTAACAAGTTGTCTGGTGTCTCTGAGGCGCACGGCAAGCCAGTGGCCTGGATTTGATGACTCATCTGCTCTTTGCACAGACTGGGATGGGATGAGGTCTCCTGACAAAAACAAAAGGAGCAGGTCTGAGTTCAAAATTTGAGAAATGTATATTCTGTTGATTCTTAGAAATTCATAAAGATATCTGACACCAGCAGGTTCCGGACCAGAAAGGGTTGTGCCACAGAAAGCCCTGTTGGTCTTAACCATTTTTCTAAATTCCTTTTTGATCTTAATTGTGGACCGTTTCTTCTGCAAAATATCTGTGACATCCCCAGGAACTAGTGATGAATCACCATTGGGAAGGGTTAGTCATCATGATTCTCACCTGTGTGGGACCCTCACTTGGAGTGTGTTCATCAGAATTAAATATCCAAAGGCATTATGAGAAATTCAGGAACATTAAGAATTGTTTTGAAGACCCTTTTTGGATCATCTCTCCGCTTGATCCAATTGTGAAACTATGTTACACAACTCCAAGAGACTGCTCGGTGTGAGTGGAGCCCCCTGGAGTTGTGCAATGCTGCGGCCTGGACTTGTGGCCAAATACTGAATTAATGAAGAGCTAAAGAACAAAAATATTTCCATCTATCAGAAATAATTTGGAATCAACGATTTGGTGGGAAGTCTAGGGAGAAGCGTTTCCAAGATACTTTTACTCTTTTAAACTGCATGGAAAATATTTCAGGGTGAACTTAGCCAATTGTAACTATTCCAACAAATGAAATTACATTGAATGTGGTCCTATTTCTGTTCCTTTAAGCCTAGCTCATTTTACATTTTCAAAGCATTCAACGAGAATACTTTGTGTTTAGGTAACATCTTTCATCCCCAAGTCTCAAGAATCTACTGGAGAGATGATTGGCAAGAAAATTCCCCAACGTGGAGAGCCCCTTGCTCTAGTGGGATGGCAAGTGTCTAACAGAAGGAAATTTGCTGTCGCTGAAGTCACCGATGGCTATTGAAGATGGTATCAAAGCTAATCAGCAGACAGAGGCCCCAGCTTGGACAACATGACCGTGGGCTTCCTATTTCCATGAATTAATTTAAGAAAAATGAAAGAAGTAGATATTTCCTGTTCTCTTTGTGATGCCCTAAGGACTTCACATTTAATCAGGGGGTGCTGGCCACCTCAGGCCTTGGTCCTGCCTGAGAAGTGCCCCAAATTACTTTGCATTGGATGCTGGTTCCAGATTCAGCAGGGAGCTAGAAACTTTAGACTCACATGAAAGTAGGACATAGGAAGAAGGTGAGCAGACCCAGCTAGGAGCTCCTTTCAGTTTGGCAGGTGACTTCTTTTTTTCTTATTTTCAAATAAAGGTTATTATTTTCTCCCTTCTGAGAAAAAAATGCATTCTTATAGAAAATTTGGTGAAAATAGAAGTGCAAGAAACAAAGACACTCCCATCACACAAAGAATATTACTATTAACACTTGGGTGTATTTCCCTTAAGTCTTTTTTCTAGGTATTAAAAAAAAAAAAAAACCAGAATCAAGGTCATACTGCCTGATTAATCCTGAGCCTGGGGTGTTAGGATACAAGACAAGCATGTACCCCCATTTTCCCAAATCCTGCGCAAATGAGACCACGCCATGTTGGAGGACCAGGACTGGGTTTGTCTCTCTCAAGATAGTGACCCTGAGACCTTGCTCAGAGCCTGGCACACAGCGATGTTCTGGAACAAAATAACAACAGGCAATATTTCATGGAGTGGATGTGCTCCAGAAATCATGTAACTCTCTCTCTGACGTGGACATGAAAGTCATCTCCAATTTTTCACTGTTAAGAGTGATACTACAATTCTTGTATGCCTTCTCCCTGCCCCACCCCCACCCCTTCTAAGGATTATCAGCTATAGCAGATACTGTCAGCATCCCAGTCATTTTCCACAGTCATTCCCAGGGACATCTGGACAGTCTGCAAGCTTCCTATGTCACCTGCCTGGACTCATTCTCTGGCCTTGGGAGGGTGCTTGGAACTAAATGTGTGTGGAATAGCCTGTACTAGCCAGTATTCAAGTCCCCTCACAATCTTCAGCCAATGGGGATGGGGTTCCAGTACCCTCGCACCTCAGGGTGAGATCTGTAAGATGTGCTGTGTGGTTTGCCAGGATTGCACCCCAGCCACACACACTGTCCAACTTCCCAGTGTACCCATCATGCTTCCCTTCCTCTCATCCCTTGTCCCACATTCCCTGCTCCCTCACTGTGCTCCCTGGGATCCCCTCCCAAAGAAACCACTTGCTTGTACCAAATCCTTCTCAGGCTCTGCTTCTGGGAGTCTCCAGAGTAAGTCTTTAACTTTGGATAGAGTCTCAGAAGCACAATTACTGAGTCAAATCAGATGACTTCTTTAAAGATTCAGGAGATATTGTTGGGGAAGTCACTTCCAGGTGGAGGTTTTCAGAGCTCTTTTTACCAGTCCTGGATGTTGCTCAAAGAATTTGGACTGTGAACTGGACATTTCGGAAGGCGTGGAAAGGAACTGCAAGCCCTCACCTGCTGGGCCAGCACTGTAGGACT